GTGTGTGTGTGTGTGTGTGTGTGTGTGTGTGTGTGTGTGTGTGTGTGTGTGTGTGTGTGTGTGTGTGTGCGCCCTTTTTTTGCTACTTGGTGGGCACGATTTTTCAGGGTAATGCTGCCTCGTGGGGACCGAATGCTCCTTGTGGGGACCAAAGCTTGGTCCCCATGACTTCAGAGGCTGATTTTGGGTTGGGGGGGTTGGGTTTAGGACCAAGGTGTGAATTGAGTTTAGGTTAGTTTTAGGGTCAGGTAAGGTAGGTTAGTTTTAGGCTAAATGATCAGGGTTAGGATATAAAATTAAAAAAAAAAAAGAATGGAAGTCACTGGAAAGTCCCCACAAGGATAGAGAGGCATAGGAGGTGTGTGTGCGCAGAGGCTTGTGCGTGTGCTCGCGCATGTGTGCAAATGGATGTGGCTATGGCCTGACCTGATTCTGTATGCATGAGCCCAGATCAAAGGCGACGGGCGGCTGTCCGGTCACACTTGTGTTGCCCCGTGTGACAAGTCTGGCAATTGGAATGACACCTCATGTACATATGTACATGTACATGCGCACAATCAAATAATTATCTCAGTTCCATGCTTTGTATTGGTTTGTTTTACTACCTAGCTTTTTTTTAGCACAGTTAGTTGGGGAGATTCATCTACATTGCAAGCATTTTTTTTTTTATTATTATTTATCTCCTTTTTCTGCCCTCCTTTTATTTTCATGTAAATATACATAATTTGCCTATATTGATTTTGTGTAATTGTAATTGTCATGAACTATTTAGCGTTTGACTCAGTTAAGCTTTCCCATCTTATGTCTCAGAGGAGCTCACATTGATTTTTGAGAAGTAAAAATGGATCCAGAGTAGCATAACTGAAAGCATCCAGTGACAAATCAAAAGCATATGCGGTTTTTTTTATTTTTTTTTTGCATGAGAAAAGCAAACTATTCATTGTTTCAGATAATCAGCTGTAATAGTTTACACTTTGTCACTTCAAGCTATGTTTTGTTCTTGATCCTTCGTGCAAGTGGCAAGAGAGAAAGCAAAACATTGAAATTATTTAACCCCAGTCTGCCTTATTTGGTAAATGTGGAAAAGTGGAGTGAAAACAGTGTTCATCCACTTTATATAAAAAGAAAATGAGGACCTCTTGAATGCCTTTTGGCAGGGCAAAGTCACTTTTAAAATTGTGTTTACATAGCTTGTCAGTGGAAAAGAAATGTTTGCCTTTGTCACTGCAGCATAGATGAAAGGAAAGATAATCACAGATTCTAGCTGACGTGATGTGTGTGTTTTTGTGTCTTTGAACCTGATTTATGTGATTATTTATTCCCTATGCAAAGTAAAAGTTAACAGCTTTGATAAAAAAATGTGTCTAGTTAGTATTGCACTGTATTTATTGCACCTGAACATACCCTTCCTGTCCTTTCCCCACTTCCTCACGAATGTTCAATTTAAACAGATTCTTACTGGGCTTTACAATATGCCGCTGCAGCATTTCTATAGGTTTATGTTCAGGCCACACATACATACGTTTTTTAATTGTCAACAAGTTATTGATGAGGTGACCAATTATTTAGGCCACCAATTAGCAAAACAACAAGAACAGGAATCTTGAGAAGCATGAAGGCATAATTAGATGTTTGTGTTTTCTTTTATGTGTGATGCAGCAGGGTGCTGCTAACGGCACAGTCTCTGCCATTAGCTTCATTACAAAGAATAAGGTAATTAGCTGTCTCTCTGTTGCCTGCATCACCATTTGAGTCTCGCTTAGGGCACATTTTGTAGGTAAAAAATCAAGAATAAAAAGTGGTATTAATAAATTATGTGACTGTTCGCACATCTTGTAAGTTTTTGTTGTTTTGTGTTCACATTTTACGTGGCTCTGCACGATTCATCCTTCTACTGTTTACAACATCAATGCAGTAAATTAAAACCATAGTGACGGCAGCAACTCAGTGTTACGGTGATCCATGCCCACCCCTGACAGTTTAAATTTAAAGGGAGAGCCCCCTTCTCTATCAGATCATGCTCACTGGATAATGTGTGTTTTGGAAAGGAGACAGTGGCAATCTTTCAACTTCTCTCATGAGTCATATCGAAGCTGAGTGTGACCACAGTTTAAAGTCCTTTTTAATCTTACCATTATGGCATGGCACCGAGCAGTGCCACATGGCTCTGATAAAGCAGTTATGCTCTTTAGCACAATCTGAACATCATAACTTTTCCTACATTTCCAGTGTTTTCCATGTTGCTAAATCACAACCAGACAGTCAGTGGGATGCTTGCCTAAAATAGGCAAACTCACACAAAAGGCTGTTCATACATATGAACATACACTCACCGGCCACTTTATTAGGTACACCACGCTAGTAACGTTTTTGTGGTCATAAAGGGATGGACATGGTCAGCAACAATACTCAGGTAGGCTGTGGCRTTGCAACGATGCTCAATTGGTACCAAGGGGCCCAAAGAGTGCCAAGAAAAGATTCCCCACACCATGACACCACCACCACCAGCCTGAACCGTTGATACAAGGCAGGATGGATCCATGCTTTCATGTTGTTGACGCCAAATTCTGACCCTACCATCCGAATGTCGCAGCAGAAATCGAGACTCATCAGACCAGGCAACGTTTTTCCAATCTTCTCTTGTCCAATTTCGATGAGCTTGTGCAAATTGTAGCCTCAGTTTCCTGTTCTTAGCTGAAAGGAGTGGCACCCGGTGTGGTCTTCTGCTGCTGAAGCCCATCTGCCTCAAAGTTCGACGTACTGTGTGTTCAGAGATGCTCTTCTGCCTACCTCGGTTGTAACGGGTGGGTATTTGAGTCACTGTTGCCTTTCTATCAGCTCGAACCAGTCTGCCCATTCTCCTCTGACCTCTGGCATCAACAAGGCATTTCCGCCCACAGGACTGCCGCTCACTGGATGTTTTTTCTTTTTCGGACCATTCTCTGTAAACCCTAGAGATGGTTGTGCGTGAAAATCCCAGTAGATCAGCAGTTTCTGAAATACTCAGACCAGCTCTTCTGGCACCAACAACCATGCCACGTTCAAAGGCACTCAAATCACCTTTCTTCCCCATACTGATGCTCGGTTTGAACTGCAGGAGATTGTCTTGACCATGTCTACATGCCTAAATGCACTGAGTTGCCGCCATGTGATTGGCTGATTAGAAATTAAGTGTTAACGAGCAGTTGGACAGGTGTACCTAATAAAGTGGCCAGTGAGTGTATATGAACATTGGTAATAATTTTGTATCATGTATCATTGGTTTTTATATGGTTATGGTCATACAGCAAAACTAGGAGACATTGCGTCAAGTGATGTAATGGCCTATGAAACGTTTCCTTTTTGTTATTGTTCACTTTTCAATTTAAATTATAAGCAGTTGGACAAAACAAAGACAAAATCAAAAAACAGAGTGGGGAAAACTATATAAATACATGAATAAACAACAAAAAAGTGAGAATTGAAACTTTTTTATTTTAAAGTTTTGTTTTGTTTTTTCAAAACCACAATACTAAGCAGAGTCAAAGTGGGACAGCCTTGAGCTGTATTTTGGGAAATTGGGCGTGTTGGAATGCTATAATGTGATAATTCTCTTTGAGGACTTAGAGGTCATGGAATGAAATGGCGTTAAACCACGTAGAGCCATTTGGACTGAGCTGAGCCGCTTTTGGAAAATACATGTGGTACTTTTTTGGCTCCACCTCCGTCCTCCCTGCCATCAAGCCCACATTATGTTGTCAAGCCCTTGGGTTAAACTGGCCATGTCTATCAAAACACTGTGACAGCAGGTTCTGTTTTCAGATCCTAAGCCGAGAGAAAAAAATAAATAAATGCATTGCATATTTAACTAACAGAAAAACATTTACTTCTTCCCACATGTTGAGTGTTTTAATGTGAATGAAGTAACTTCTCGGTGCCCTGCGCTAACGCGAAGCACGACTTGGTAGCTACGTCAACAGGTATAAATGTTCCTCAGATGTCACTTAGATTTTCACTCAGATGAAGTATTTGGTTTGATTTTTAGGCACGAACTCAGCTTTTTTTCCAGGGTTTAATGTAAAGCAGACTGCAGTGCAGGACGGCTCGAGCCAGCTCCTGAGTCCCATGAGTCTCTGCACACAGGGAAACGGTTCTTCAGCGGAATTGACAGTGACAGAGCCAGGAAAGTCGTCAAGTGGATCTTTTCAGTTCTGTTTTTCCTTCCCCAGACACTAAGCTGTTTTACTCTTGAGCAGACAGTGGTTCATTGAAACTTTTCACTGTAGGGAGCAGTCCAAATCTAATATGGGCTACATGGTTTCAGAGCAGTGATTGTGCATTATGTGACGCATGATTGTGGTATTTCTTTCCTCCTTTTTTTTATTTTTGGTAACCCAATTGTGGGAGAAGAAGAGGCATTTTGCTACAGGTTGGTTGTTGTTGTTTTTTTTCCTTCTCTGATGCACCCAATGAAGTATGTTGCCACGTTCATCTCTGCGCTTGAGAGTTATGAGTTCCCCGAAGCTCTTGAACATAACAAACAGCGTTGCAATATAGCTCTATGAGAATGTGCCTTCAGTGGGTTTGCTGAATCATTTTACTGGACAAATGCTACCTTGGAGAAAACTCAAAGGATATGGTTGTCAACAGGGGAAGGGACTATAACTAAACAGATTGCTGTGGAAGGAAATTTCATATCACTCCTCACTTTGCTCGATTGTATATTTA